TTTCTCCACAGATGTAGCAACTGGCAAGGGACATACATCAGCAATCTTTTATCGAGTCCACGCCCGATTAATGGGAGTTGAATTTCGCTCTTCTTTAGAGTTACGTATCAATCAACATAACACTATATATATGGTGTAGAATTTATATCAAGCTGCCCACTTCATAAATGAATCATATCATTTTCTTCGCTATAATATAATAAAATAAACTGAATCAATCAGCTCGATCTAATTAAATATATAGCACGATGAACAGAGACCGGCGAATAATACAATAAATCATGAAAACTCACCGAAGTACAGACAATTCTAAAGGCAAATAAATATGCTTCAGCCCCATCTAATTTCATTTGGAGGAAAGAATTTTAATGGAATGAAATTACGAGAGACTACAAGTTATATATATATATATATATATATATACTATTACCTCACATTCTTAATATAAAAGCTTATTAACTAATTTGACTAGATAAAAGGAAACTAGTTAAGTTAGTTATTTATAATAAATATGTGTTGTCTTTCTTAAAATATATTTGCTAATCAAGTGTATTGGTGAGAGTTACTATTATTATAAGGACTACATTTTAAAAAATAAATATAAAAAAAGTAAATTGAGATCTTATATTTTTTATTAAAATAAAAATCAAATAGTTTTCATTCTAATAATTCCTCGTGTATTTGCTCGGTATTAATTTAAAAAGCAGCAATACATGAAAAGGAACCAATTTAAATATTAAAAAAAACATGATGATCTTGCTTATTATGCATAAAATTAAGAAAATATTTTTTTGAGTGATAAATTGAGAAAATATTGTTACCATATATAAGAGATGAATGTACGAGGTCACACATTGAAAGTGGGGAAAAAGCATCCACATGTTACGTGGAATTCAAAACATCATTTTAACCGGGGTGTCTAGATAGCAACTAAATGGGTGTTTGGAAGCATCCAAAAATACTTCTCAAAAGCACTTTTTCGTAAAATGAGATAATTTTTTTATATATTTGTCTCGTATATCGTAAAAGAACTTTTAAAACCATGGTTTGGTTTTCATCCAAACACCCCTCAAATCACGGTTCTAAAAGTGTTTTTACAGTTTAAGAAATAAATATGTGGAGGAATTTGTCTTATTTTGTGGAAAAGTGCTTTTTAAAAGTGTTTTTTAGGGTTGCCAAACACACCCTGAATCGAAAACATGAATTGTACTCCTCTGGTCTTTAATATAATATCTAATTTTTGAGTTAGTTTTGGTTTTAAATATAAGATCTATTTTTTATATTTATCAATTTTTTCTAAATTAGATACTCCTCAACCATAATTAAGTAGAAGAGGAAGACAGCGTATTAAGAAAGATGATTATGGTGTTTTAGAAAAAATGTATAACTTTTTTTTATAATTAACTAACTTACCTAATTTTTTTAGTCTAATCAAATTAGTTAAATAGATCTTATATTAAAAATAAGAGGAGTATTATTTTTGTTATTCATGAGTAAGACAATATGCTACTACAAATTTTTGTTATTCATTTGATCGTTAGGATTGATGTGAAATCAATATATCGGGGCCCAAAAAAAAAAAAGAAATCAATACGTGGCACTGATGGTCCCATAATCAGTATTCATCCGTAATTCAGTATATCTGGTCCTTATAATATTATAGCCATGAAATTGCGAGGAATACATATAATAATGTGAAGTGTAAATTTTTATAGTAGACGAGAAAGACAGGAGTAGGCAGAGGCACAGTACGAGGGGGTGGGGGGACACAGCGTCCAATGTGGGAGGGCCCACGTGGGGGATCATTAGTGGTTACACGTGTCAAAATCACATGGTGTGGGGCCCATTTACAGCTGGTACTGACAGTTCAGGATGGTGGTGGGGGTGTGTGTCAGTCCAGTTTCCGCTCTTTTCCGCTCCCCTCTCGTCCCTCCCGCAACTGAAAATTCCTTTGCCTTTGATTCATATTTGTTTAAAAAAATATTATTTTTTATTCGTATTTTAATGAAAAATAGCAGATTTTTAATCACTATTTGATTCGTCCAGCTGCGTTTATAAAATTCCTTCCAATTTTTATAACTATTAATAAAATCCTTTAAATAATTTAATATACTAAATGATTAATATTTTTCAAGATATCTCATTTATAATTATTATGTTCTCTCTTATTTTGGTGAAGCATACCTGACATCAAAATACAATGCATAAAGGTGAAAAGTCCTTATCGAGAGGATGGTATTTTTCTGGGTTAATACAGATTGTTTAAGTTTGTATTTATTTTTATTTTGGTCTTTAAAGTTTTAAATCATAAATATTAGTCCTTCAAAATATTGATTCTTATGATTTAATAAAAAGTGGGATTATTTTACTTTTTGAGTAACTGAAACCTATAACTTTAAATTTGAAGGATTATAACGGAAATGATGACAGATTTAAATACCGAAAATTATATTAATCCTATTTTTTTAATAATCTTATATTAGAACAACACGAGCAATAAAAAAGAATGTAATCATGTGTGGGGCTCGTGTTCGATTTACACTGCACTGGATAGACGTGAGTCTCCTACCTGACATCGAACATGAGAAATTGAGAATCCACTGTATGCTGTTAATAAATTATAAATACCATAACTTTTTCCTTTTTTTTTAACTTATTTTTTGGTAAGCCCCTTCTCTTTTCTTTCACTCGTAGTGAGGATTTCTCAAAATGAATAGTTTAAAAAAAATTAAGAAATTGAATTGAAACCTAAGGTAAATCTTGTCAACTTTAAGTTAAAACCACACAGCTCTAATAATTACTGGTATTATTAAGGGTACGTAAAAGCCGGCCTCACAGCAAATAAACGAAAGGGGAAGAGATTAGTTAAGTGACGGCGTTAGGGTTGAAATGGGAAAGCGGGGATTATAGTTGAGAGGATGAAGTTTGGGCGGCCGTTGGTGGCGTGTGACGTCGACGGCGGGGCCGTTGTTGTCAAACGGTCTCCATTGTGTGGGGCAGAGTTGACATTAGATTAATCATAATGGGAATTCAACTCCACGCGCTCATGCCAACGCGCTTCTGGGGAAATAAATTGTGATAGGTACAGATCATCAGGAGGAGTAAAGTGGGGGGAATGATTAATGATCGATTGCTTTGACTTAATTACACCTTAATTATCGATTCTGCGCCTTATTTATTTTCATCAGCTACGACTTTTATGGATGCTTCTCATATTTGTCACCCTCAATCACGAATCAACTGCTGCTCGGCCACGAGCATTTTTAGCAGTATCAGCGAAAGCCTCATATTATTGCTAATTGATGTTGTATTTATAAAAGGGTAAATGTGTGATTTTAATATTAATCTTATTTTTTAACTGCACATATCGCCCCAATCTTTTGTAATGTTACAATTCTACCTATGATCTTTTTATTGATACAATTATATGTTGATTGTGCCAAATTAAAAGATCATAAGTAAAATAATATAAAAAACTCAATAAAATTACACCATTAAAAAAATTGGGTGCTTAGTGCACATTATGCTTAAAATTTCACATTTACCATCTATAAAAATTATTTTGAAAAACACACGGTATCGGCTCATATGTGACTATCAAATTCAGAACTTTCTCTAGATTAAAAGTAATATTGTAGCTTTGTAACTCGAGGGCACAATTCAAATATTAAAAAATTTCTTGTTATATAATAAACTAATCATCGTGCGAAATAATATAGTGATAGTTTCTATTTATTTATATAATTGACTTATAAATTGAAATGAATATGAAAAAGATATTAGACTATCAATAAGAAAAAATGCATATAATCCCTAGAGAAAAACGAGACTTTATCACGGGTTAAACTTAGTATCCCTTTCAGCCTGCGTTATATGGAATCCTTGAATTAAAATAATACAAGAAACTACTTTCAAATCCAAATAATAATTAGACGGTGCACTCATGCAATAACATGAAAGAGAGAAATTCAACACGGGCTAATCTATTTGTGATTCATGAATAGTATATTTTATGAAATATTTTATATCAAGCCTTTTATACTATTTCTGGCCCATAATATAAAAGTTAGTTGACTAATAATTTGAATAAATTAAGAACATTAGTTATGTTGGTTGTCTGTTATAAATATGTGTTGTTTTTCTTAAAATGTCATTACTAATCATACGTATTACTTAGAACTATCATTTAATGAAATATTTAACATATATGACTATTACAATAATTACTTTAGGAAAAAAAGATAAAAATGAGAGATAAAATGAATTAAGATACTATATCTGGCCTTTAATATAAGACCCTGTTTGATTTTTATTTTAATTCTAAATATAAGATCACAATCCACTTTCTCTCTCATATTTATTTATTTATTTTCAAGATAATTTTTTAACAATGGGATTCTAATAAATAAACCTGATTAGCAAAGATATTTTAGAAAAGACAACACATATTTATTACAGATAACTAATTTAACTTATTTTTTTAATCTATTCAAATTAGTCAACTAGCTCTTATATTTAGGACCGAAAATAGTATTATATTTAGAATCAAATTGAATGTCAAACTCATTCCCATATTAAGAATGGGAGTAGAATTATCTATAATTGTGAACTAGATTTCAATATCTATGCACGCACTATATGAAATAAGTTATAGACTACTACATAAAATGACACTCAAATGGCACTATCGTTGGCTCGTTACACCCAAATGTATCAAATAGGCCACACCAAGTGCAGCTAATAAATTTGTAATTTTAATGCCAAAGGTACATTCTTCGCAGTGACTCTGGACTCTGGCCTCAATCAAGCTACACTACAAAATAAATGAAATCCCTCAATTGGTCACCTCATGGTAACCAAGAAAATACCTCATCATCCAATTTTTCCAACTCATACAAGTGTGCATAGGGTAAAAGTTAAAAAGGAAAAAAAAAAAACAAAAACCCAAAAATGCATCATTTGGATCTTATCTGTTTGAGCTGATGCTGTTGTTGTTATTGTTTACCTGATGGGTTCATAGGAGGTCGCGCCTGATCACGAGCGTTTTCAAATAGCATTCTCATTTCTTTTTTCTGTGACATATATAATATTAATTTTTATACTTTAGATTTGATATATTTTGTGGATTTCAAATTATTCCTATTTGCTGTTGAGAGGAATTTGCAGTACTAGTAGTGGTGAAAAAACCATGCCAAAGAGCAACAGAGCCCCAATCCCCAATGCTCAGATTCTTCACCATTCATAGCGACTGCCTCATCTCCATCCTCACCCTCTGGGTTTCTGAGCGCACCCGCTAATCGAAGGAAGGGAAATCACTCTCAATCGCCAAAACCCCCCTTTGAATCTGAAACTAAATCTTCAGCCCCAAATCACGAGGAAAAGCAACCAGCCATGAAAAGAGAGCATCATCAGCTTTGTCCCAACCCGGGCGACTCCTTCATGACCGCCAGCTCTAGCGGCAAATCAACGCTATGGGAAGATGAGGCCCAAGATGGTGGCATGGACGAGCTTCTCGCCGTCCTCGGCTACAAGGTAAGGGCGTCGGACATGGCCGATGTTGCCCAGAAGCTTGAACAGCTTGAAGAAGCCATGGGTAATGTTCAGGGCGGTATCTCTCAACTCTCCTCCGAAACTGTTCATTACAACCCTTCTGATCTCTCTACCTGGCTTGAAAGCGTGCTTTCTGAGCTCAACCCATCTCCTAATTTCGACTCTTTGACTGCCGTCGCCGGCGCCGCCTCTGCGCCACGGCTCCCTCCGCCTCCTCCTCCCCCGGCTGATGATTCTGCCTTCTTGGCTCCGGCGGAATCATCAACTATTACCTCCATTGATTTCACTGACCATAGCCCGCAGCAGCATTTGAATCCTCTGCATAAGCACCAAGATAGCTTAATCTTCGAAGACGCATCTTCCTCAGATTATGATCTCAAGGCTATTGCAGGCAAAGCTATCTACAGCAGTCAGACTCAAACCCAGCACCAGCAGCAGCTCGAATCTCCTTCCCGAGAAAGCAAACGTTTGAAACCCTCTTCTTCTGCGTTCAACCCTGCATTGTTCTCGTCCTCCCCTCTGGGGTCTTATACCTTACCCAACGAGTCAACTCGTCCTGTCGTCCTCGTCGATTCGCAAGAAAACGGAATTCGACTCGTTCATGCATTGATGGCTTGCGCGGATGCCGTACACCAGAACAATTTTTCTCTCGCAGAAGCTCTGGTCAAACAGATCGGATTCCTCGCGGTGTCTCAGGCCGGAGCTATGCGCAAGGTTGCGACCTACTTCGCGGAAGCGCTTGCTCGCCGTATATATCGGCTTTACCCAGAAAACCCCCTCGATCATTCTCTTTCCGACATGCTTCAGATTCACTTCTACGAGACCTGTCCATACCTCAAATTCGCCCATTTCACAGCTAACCAAGCCATCCTCGAAGCTTTTGAAGGCAAAAGGCGAGTTCATGTCATCGATTTCAGCATGAATCAAGGGATGCAGTGGCCGGCTCTCATGCAAGCACTGGCTCTCCGACCTGGCGGTCCACCGGCGTTCCGGTTAACAGGAATTGGACCACCCGCTCCGGATAACTCAGATCACCTCCAGGAAGTGGGTTGGAAACTCGCTCAGCTAGCAGAAACTATTCATGTTGAATTTGAGTACAGAGGGTTTGTTGCGAACAGTTTAGCTGATCTAGATGCTTCTATGCTCGACCTGAGACCGAGTGAAGTTGAGTCTGTGGCTGTTAACTCGGTGTTCGAGCTTCACAAATTGTTGGCCCGACCCGGAGCGATCGAGAAGGTGTTATCGGTGGTGAAGCAGATGAAGCCGGAAATAGTCACTGTTGTAGAGCAAGAAGCGAACCACAACGGACCGGGGTTTCTGGACCGGTTCACCGAGTCACTACACTATTACTCGACCCTGTTCGACTCGTTGGAGGGATCCGTGGACACTCAGGATAAGATCATGTCGGAGGTGTATCTGGGGAAGCAAATCTGTAACGTGGTCGCCTGTGAAGGAGTGGACCGCATTGAGAGGCACGAGACACTGAGTCAGTGGAGGAACCGGTTGGGTTCTGCCGGGTTCGCTCCGGTTCACCTGGGCTCTAACGCTTTTAAGCAAGCAAGCATGCTTCTGGCTCTCTTCGCCGGTGGAGATGGTTACAGAGTAGAAGAAAACGGCGGTTGTCTGATGCTGGGTTGGCATACTCGGCCATTGATCGCTACATCGGCCTGGCGACTCGCCTAGAAACCGGGGGCTGTTCGCTGAGTTGACTCAGCGAGTTGGGTCCTTTTTACTTTCCGAAATTCCCAATTTTTTTCCGAAAGAAAAGAAAGCGATTGTGGGGAAGAGGGTGCAGTGTGATGCTGAGCTGTTTGTACAGCTATTCGCTGAGAGGCTGAGACCCACCAATGTCTATGCCTTCCCCCCTTGCCTTTCTTTTTCCTCTCTCTCACTCTGTTACAATTCCATTCCCCTTTCTGCTTAGGGTTCTTTTACCAGTTTTGTTTCCTTTGTTGGGTTGGACTGGAATCTCTTGTTATTTTTCAGGGTTGAATCCAAAACTAGGGCTGATGCTGTATTTATCTCTTGATATAAATAGCTCGCTGCTAATAAATGTAATCTTTTTTCTTATGGGGCCATTTAATGATGAATGCAGAAGGGAAATGATGAATGGTAAATCATGATAAACTTATTCGTCACAATTAATCTTGTGCATGCAAGTTGTTAATTTGCCAAAATGGAGAATGTGGTGCTAGCTGATCTGCATAAGCGAGTGCAGGGAAAGCGGGCTTCCCTTTCAAGAAAGAGACTGAGTTTGATGCAACCAATGCCATCGATGTGGTTGATGGAATGGGACTGTTTCAGTGTTATGCAAATTTAGTGTGATAAAACAGCATCCTCTTTAATGTCCTGGGGAAAGCACAATCACCAGAAAGTGAAAATAAAATTTAAAAAAAGGGATTACCTAAGCCGTATAATGTCAAGATCTTTATGGTTCATGGTGCTTTCCCAGTTGAAAAAGTTGCACTTTTTAGGGCTCTCTTTCACTCTCTCTCTCAATCATATTGCTATTCACTGTTCGTGGTTTCTTCTACTCAATCTTTTCCTTTTCCAACTCTCAGTTTCCGTTTTTCAGTTTCCGGGTTCATTTCAGATTCTGTATTTTCTGCACGCTTTGGATCCATCCCCTTTGAAACCGTGACACATTCCCATAAAATTTGAAATAACTACGCATAAAGTTTATACCTTTTCCTTTCTTTACTTGGTTCCAACCTGCAGTCTTCTGGTTCATTTCTCATCTTCTTCCCCCTGCATGCTGAAGAGATAATGCCATGTCTCATCTATCTCCAAAAGATGTGATTTTTGTAATAAAAAAGAGCATGTAAAACCGTGAAAGATACTCAAAGATGAAGCAGCATCCAGATCATTGGTCAAAGCAAGAATCTTGATCTTCCTAGTTGGTTTATTCTTTTTATTTTACTTGTTGATAACCATGATTGTACTTGCCAGGAGGTGCAGATAATTAATATAAGATCCTCCATGTTTTTCTTGTCCTCCTCACAGATCCTGTTTCCCCAAATTTTTTAAATCCTCAAAACTCTGGCAACTTGCATCTGCAATTCCCTATGATCCACAATTACCGAAACATTAATAATAAACAACATTAGCTTTCTCAAATGCAAATGCAAACTCTGTGGTAATGTCTTGGAATCTAAGCAGCAAACGTGTATTCATTGAAACATCTCCTTATTTCTTAGTACAACAACAACAGTGATATTAACAATAAAAAGAGTCTAGATTAACTTGCTTGTGTCTCCATTAATTAACCCGTATTTCTTTTTAATCCTATCAGATATTGAACACCAATATTACTAAATGAATTTGGAACACAATAAAAATAAGGCCACCTAGGATGATCACAAGACGGAGAATATTTTCAGTTTATTCCTGAATTGATCCTCAACAACCAAATATCTCATTTGATTGACCCATTCTTTATGTGGATATTAAAAAGAGGAAGGAAAAAAAGGAACAATAATAGAGTGATGACAGCAACATGTTAAAAGCATTAAGGTGGCACATCCCAGAATGCCGATGCTATATAGATAAATAAAAGGTGAGAAGAAACAATTAGAAGAACCAAGAGAGAGTGATTCATCAGCATATGTCAATACAGATAGGAGGAGGCATTAAATATAATTAGTGTTTGGGAGGGCAGGCCATTGGATTATTGAATTGAATAAAATGAATACATGAAATATGTGTGTATATGTACCACCACACACACATGAAACATCCATATTCATCTCTGCGTATTGGACCATCTTCCAATATCATCTAAATTAATTTTTTGGCCACCTACCTTAATAGATTAATAAAATAAGTTCTTGCAAATACGGTCAAGTTAATGCGAAGGATCACTTGTGTGTTATAATGGAGAAAAGTCATGGATTAGCAGTATTAAGTTTTTTATAGCTAATAATTGGTTTTTTTTTGGTGAATTAAGTTCTTAATACGATCTCAAACTCAAATGTTGTCGGTGACATTATCAATTTCCTAAAGAAATGTTGAAGATTTCAGTCACAATTTTTGTTGCTTGAAAATAATTTATTTAGCATGATACCAACTCTTAGTCATGATTTTCAACATGATAAGTCGTTTTTTCCTATTTTTTCTCTGCAACTCAGGGGTCTTCTTTTCCAATCAATAATCAAATACAAATGACTGTGAATTTTTGTAAAGATAAGTTTCTTGAATTTGAATTTAACAGCCGGTATCGAAATATTTCCCTAACCTTTTCTTGTTGTTCTTCTCCCAGTTCATATATCGTTTGAGTTTGATATTTTTCTCAACAAGAAAAAATTGAGACCAACTTGTCCACTTGAATAATGTAGATCCTTCTTTCATGCTTACACATCAAAATCAATGGCCCACATGAGGCCCATACTTTTGTTATTCACCTTTTATTTAATTTCGCATATCCTTTTCAAGCAGCCAGAGAAAGTCGATGAGGTCTCTTTCAGTTATACACTTAAACTGCGGTTTTAAAAGAAAGCATTAAAAGGTCAAAAAGAAAAAGAAAATGGATCGCCTTCTAAAGCAGGAGTAGTTGTTCAGTTCTGTTAATAAGAAGAGGATTAATTTAAAGAAAAAGAAAAAAGTTGATAAATCATTTGAAGATGAATCAGAAGTGAGTGGAAGTAAAAGAAGCCAAGTCAAAGCAGAAGTACGGGTTCCAAGGTATATTTTTTTGGGATCAAGGAACAAAGTGTATGAATTTTAGAGTTACGGTCAAAGCAATAATTAATTTGCAGTTTCTTAAATGAGAGGAAGCTATGACATTTCGGATTTCTCAAAGATAAATATTCATAAAATATTTAAAAATTGTACCAAAATTGTCTTGAAAGAGAAGAGATAGATTTCTACACATTTTCATTTTCATACGTTTCTCTTTTATATGTCGGGAATCAGAATCAGAAATATTTGAATTTAAGTTAAAGAAAATTGAAATGTGAGGTGATGGTTGGTGAATAAGAAATATGAGATTGGAAGGCCGCATGTATTTGCTAATGCGGCGGAGGCGCTGCAATATCTCTCAGAGAGAGAGAGAGAGAGATCTGTTATGATCTGAATCTGAATCACTAATTCACTCCCACTCGTGGGGTATGAACAGTCAAAGTGAGAAGCATTTGTGGGACCCTTCTATGACTTCCTGTCTTTGTTGAATAGTGTTTGTCTGCAAATCCTGATCCTCATATTATTCCCTCCCTTCAAATCTTTTTGCCATTAGCAGTTTTGATTTTTCAAGCAAAGCAAATTATTATGAGTGTGTTTGGATTATCTTGGCTAATATTGATCGAGCTCTGGAAAAAATTAAAGCGAATGACAATAGGATTAGCCTCACATGTTTTTTGAATCTGCAATTCTGATGCCACATAGAAGTAGTCGTTTAAAATTTCGCTTCTATAGTTCGAGTCTTCCACGTTTGTTCTACTGATTTTGTTCGTTGAAATTTCTCTCTGTCAGTTTCGTTTGGAAGGTCCTCATCCATTTCAATTCATCATACATTGCAATTTTTTCATGTTCCCTTCTTTGTTAGTTCAACTAATTATAACAGTAAAATTGGCTTCTCACATTAAACTTTCGCTTTTATATGATTTGCATCTGACCAAGGCAAAAGGGCAGCTATGCAGCTATCTCTTTCGGCCTCTTATTGATTAATCTATCCCAGCAGAAAATTGGATTTTAGAAACAATGACGCCATTAGCAACAGAATCAATCTGCCTTCCACATACAGAGTGTAGGAGCTTCTGGAATGCCATTTGAATCGATTAATACCGTTTCAGCCCACCCTACATGCCACTGTCTGCATGTAAAATTTAGGCTTGTGTGAAATTCAAATGGTAAACTATATCCTCAAATCCTGGAAGTTCTTGCAAAATTAAAAACACAACTTTGACTAAGGATCTTTTCTACTATATCTTCAAAGCAGCCCGGGCCATGGTTAGGGCACCTTCAAAATTTTGGTTTCCACCAATGAAACCACTCATGTGCACAAAAACACAACCAGGAATGCCAGATACCCTTGACAACTCATCATCTCTTAGACCCCGCCACTGTGATGGTAAAGGTTTTCGGCTCTCGAACCTATCGGGAGACACTGCAACTGCCTGAACTCGCCAGTGTTTGCTTCTCTCATCCTGTAAAACGCATTCAGTTAAGGGAAAAATCAGCTCAAATGTCAAAACAAAATACCACGGATGTATCAACCTAGCAGGTCTTAACAAGGAAAGGTCGAGGTTCTGGTGATGATATAAGGACTGAAGCCTACTCATGGGATATGAATTTCAGCTGACCAAAAACAAGCCAAGGCGTTATCAAATATTGACCCTACTTGTTCATCCATCCACGCTACAGAATAAAATAATTGCATTGGTTACGGTGAAAAATTCTATAGTTTTTTTATTCTTTTCTGTCCTCTTAAAAATATTCTCTCAATAGGAGTTCATTTTTATCGAAGATCTTGTTCTTACATAAAAATAAATAGTGTGGAAACCCTTACATGCAGGCACCAAGCCAAACACAATAAGAACAAACGACGTTGGGATAACTACCCCACTCAACACTGCTGAAATTTGGATTGATCGTTGTACTAAGCACCAAATCATTGTTGCCAAAAAGAAAACAGTGATGATGAATATACCTGATAGAGAACATATTTGATGGGAGGGTCAATTTTCATCTCCTCCTCAAGCTCAAATAAGTGAAGCTTCCACTGCAAGATAACATAGAAGTTCCAATTTTCTTACAAACACACCGTGTAGCTCATGTTAATGCATTCTAGACCATATGCAGCAACAGCAGCTTGTCTGCTCTTTTATGTCGTGATATTAGCTAATGCCTATCATGCATTAAGATCAACATAGACGTTGCATGCGAGCTAACATCCAGGAAGTTGTCTTGCTACCGAATCACTAGTTTAAGTGCAGCAAAATGAATTAAAATTTAAAAACAAATCTCAACTTGGCAAGGAAGAAGAAAAATCATTTTGGTAGTAAGAGTCATCAGCTAGTTGGTGAAAATGAACAGAATCAACAGATGAAAGGTGGCTTCTGCTAATTGTATCTTTCTCTTTTAGAAAAAATTGCAATAACAAGATTATGAGAAAAACACGATTTTTCGTTTTCACAATAAAGAAATGCTGAAGAGATTAATATCAAGGAGGGTCCTATACAGTAGGAGTGAGCGGCAGCCATCCCCAACATGAAATTTCAAAGGTAATATATTTGCCCCCTACCATTTCTAATCTGCCCCACTCAGAATAATGGACGGCTTCAAAAATGTTCTTCAAGACATAACTATCTCTGACATTAACCATGAATGATTTTATAAATGATGGGCCTACTGCTTACGGGCCAAGCTTGTCACTAACGTATAGGCTGCAAGGTGAGGTGGGGGGGTGAGAGGAGTGAACCAGCCTCTTGAATGCTAGTGTGTGCAGCATTTGTTATTGGTTTTCAGTTCATTTGATTAGACCTACACTCCCGCATATATATCTTAAATTGAATACAATATTTGAGAGGGTTCCATCATGTTAGAAGTCCGAAAGGCCTAAGGGCCCAAGCCCACTGCACTGGACTTCACTAACCTATGGGCTGTGAGGCGTGAAATGTGGGCGAGAGAGGGAGTGGACAATGTATAGCGGGGTTTATGGTTAGAATGAGGCAATTCATGAGTTGTTTGGAAAAGTATTGACCTCTAAAATGGTAGTGCGTGCTGCGTTTTCCATTGTTTTTTCTGTGTAGTTCATTGGCTTAGGCCTACATTCCGGCAGCTTTATGTCAATATGAATTTGAATTGCATGTTAAAGAGGGTTCCACTAACAAAACATATAAAATGTCACTAATTTTGTCAGCCACACTCAATCTTCATGCTTTCACAGAACCCGTCAGAATAAAAGCTTCTCCCAGAAAGTCTACTAATGGCTACCAAGATCGGGTAAAGAAAAGTGCATAGATTAAAGAAATTAAGAGAATGAGCAGCA